ACGCCAATAGCACGCGAAAAGAAAGAGCGGTCTTTTGTCCACTACTTTGGTGTCTGCGTTTTTTTTTTTTTTTTTTCTATTTGCGTTTTGATTTTTTTTAAATATGCACGCTATTGTGGCCAGCTAGCGATGCTCAATAGCATAAGGACAATCGCCAACTCAAGTCTCAACATGACTGCCACCATCGTTTATCGTTTATTCGCGTATAGAGGAACGAATAGTCTATCGACATGACAGGGAACCACTTTCGGCGAGCATGATCATCTACCCGCTCCGTCAGCGTCGTAGTCAATATATTTACGACGCAAGCATTAAAAGGAACGGGGGAACCAGTCGGGTCTTGGAAGGAGGTGAGATGAATTGTAACCACTTTTAGGTATGCCATGTTTGTATAGACTCTTTGCAGCAGCTGTGCATGGGCGCCGCCATAACTGGCCTTCAGTTTTTGCTCCCTCTTATTCTGTTCGCTTCACTTCATCATTACCACAGCAGGACAGGTTATTGCCATTTTAGATGCTACTGTGTTCTTGTGCCCAACATAGGCCCTTGTGAAGACCCGTCAACGCCCGCTTCAGTGGCTGGGCATCTCGGTAAGACAAGAGAAGGGCGGCTATGGCGGCTCAATCTGGCGCGTGTGTAAAGCGTCTATATAGGGGTTATTACCAAGGAAAGCTGGCAGCTGCTGGCTGCTCCAGTCAATCTTTCTCGACCTCCTATCACATCCTAGGGATTTCGACATCGTGTTTTGACACGCAGCTGGAAGTGTTCCGGCTGCGTGTCCAGCAAAGTTTCAGCAACGAACTTTGCACAGCGACGCGCTCGCTTTGCGTGTCGCTGCACCCGTTTTTAACGCCAGACCCAATGGAGGGGAAAAAAAAAAAAGACAAATTTCGTTTGTTGGCCCGTGTGCAGCAGGATAGTGGTTATTTGCCCTGCGCGCAAAGCGAACGATTAATCCATGTCGGAACTCGGATCAGATACTATACCAGTCAGCTGCTCTTTAATTGTGCATAAACTATCTTAGGTGCATTCCTAAGTAATCTTTGAGCAGTCATTAAATCCCGCCGTCATCCACACATATTTTTCATTGCCTTTCCTTCACTCCACAGCGAGGCAAGGTATTCGGAAATTAGGGCAATAACGACTTTGAATGTCCGACTACATCGTTAGACCGTCGCTAAACGGTTACGCATAATGCGACTGCCAACTGGCGAAGTCAGAAACGTAAACTTAATCTGTGACTGGAGGAACAAACCAAAAATGTACAAGAAATCCTTGTCGGTTGGCTGGACAGTTTGCCTGCCCCGAGCTGACTACGAATACATAGAGCCTCGGTCGGGTTGGATACGAAACGGACGAGGGACGCACGGGAGACAGACGACCGTTTTGTGTGTCACGCAGCCTACGTGACAAATGGCGGAGCTGGTCACGGAACCAAGGTTCGCGCATGCGTGCACGGTAGCGCGGCGATTCCGCTCACGCGACCGCGACGCTCTGACGAACGCGTACACACACACTCCGACAGCGGGGGACGCAGAAGGGACACGGCCTCCGCGCGCTTGTCAAAGCAGCCGGCGGACAAAAGAGCGCCGAAAAGCGCGACCAAGGCCGCTGTGAGCGGCAGCGCCGACGTCTCGACAAGCCTCAGCTAAGCCTCGGACAGAGACAGGCGGATGCACGCGACACGGAGACAACCACAGCGACAACTTGGACAAACTTACCGTCACTCATCCGTCGGATACTGCTACCACCGATGTGGGGCGTGGACCGGATCACTTAGTGGTTTGTATTACGAACTTGGCCGTTTTGTAGACGTTCGCCAGATCATACAGCGCACGCGACAGCCGGTTTCGGCCTTCAGTAGATTGTTCGGATACCCCCGATAACGACGCAGTAGTCTCGGAAAGGCCATGCAGCAGCATGAATATTTGTGCAGCCCATGTAACAGTTCAACCAAGAAGCGTTCCACGTCATCACGCCCCGGAAAAACCAGACTCGAGTGATGACGAGGCACAGTAGACTGCATCGTCCACATATACGTACTGCTCACTTCGAGGTTGCCGGATTCTCGGTTTGTTCTCCGCCGGCAGCGCTTCTCAACGAGAGCAGCCTTTTTTTGTCGGCTACGCGCGCGGTAATCCGAAGTTGGAAATCGGAGCGGAAGAATACCCCGTGCATGGGCCAAAGGATAGAGACGAGGCCGACCGTGGAACCACAAAGGGGTATAATAGCACGAGAATGATCCAGAGAATTCATCGCTAAACGTCGCTTGACCTTGTAAAACGTATGATTAAAACAAAGTGATGGTTGCATGTTTAGGGAGCCTAGAGGTAGCTACGCCTCAATGGGTGACCTGTTTCTTAGCTGCTAGTGCGGTGCAACCGCTAACCTGGAGTCTTCAACGTGCACCAAGCAGTAGCGATTACACGAACACGTGCCGGTACGATACTCATCCACGTCGAAACGGGAAGAGGGTGGGGATCGAACCCAGGAGATTCTGCAGCGCAACCTTTCGCTACACGCTCCAAGCTGAGACGCGTTAGCTCACTCGGCCACGATACCCCTACGTGCGATCGAAGCGACTGCAGCTTCACTTAAATATGGTGACCCGTATACTTTGCTTTTTTTGCCCGTAAATTTGTCCCTTATGAAGGATTGAGGAGCAAAGTCGTTAGAGCTAGTAACCCCCGAAAAGAATTACAAGCTTTTCGTCCCGTAGCGCAGGAAATGCACATAAATTAGATGGTTATGAGCGCACATTAGCAAGTCCGTTCTTACTTCCTCATGCGACAAGTGTTGTAACCCATATCATCTTTCCTTACTCATCAATGTATTTCTTTTTTTCTTTCATATAATCTATTATGATAATCCTACACAAGAGATAAGATGTTTTTCTGTCTAGCCCCTATATTTTCTTTCAAAGCCGCCATTCCTGACTGCAATACAAAGTCGTCATTCAAATAGAGCCGCCTTCCCACATTTCTAGTGGCCATATCTCATCAATCGATTCGTTTAAAGAAGCCGTAACTGACAATTTTTTACAATGACAACCTCCAATGCTCATATTTTAAATACCAAATTTGTATTACTTTTTTTTTTTTTAAGAACATTACAACGTAATGCTTTAATGTCCTGAGATAAATAAGCATAAATAAGCAAACTAATCTACTTTTTCGTACTGTACTTCGATGTTTGATGATTCATTCAGAGTATTACTTCGTTAGCTCGAGAATATAACCTGTAAGAGGGTCGTCTCAACTGCTTACTTTTTTTAACCGACATCCCAGACATGTCCTATCAAAAACCTACAATAATCATTCTCTTCTTCTTCCTCCTTCTTTTTCTCTCTCTCTCTCTCTCTTCCCCCCCCCCCCCCCCCTTTGCTGCCCCCCAACGAATTAAGAAACTAAAAAGAGCACAGTTTTGCCGAAACATGACGTATAGTCTTTCTTTTATTTTTGCATTTCCTTCGTTTGCTATGACTAAACTAAACAGTACAGGCAGAACCCCAACACCTGTGTCCCATCCTATTCCACTCGGTCCCACGGGGCATGCGTAGGAGAGAGTTGTAGTATACACAACAGGATAGCTGACTTTCGTGTTCCACGTTTTGTCATCCGTGAACGAAAGAGCATCAACGTTCTTCCTGGTAACTCGCCGCATGAAGTCGAAATCGTGCCATGACCACGACATTAGGCAGTTTACGTAGATCGTTCCGAAGCGTCCGATAACGATACCCGATACTTCACCGACGCCTTTACGCATGCATCGTAAACCGTTATCGGGTATCGTTGTAGGAGGTACGTAACGGAACGATATACTAGAACTGTCTACTGCAGTGCCAGATGCACGTGTGGCGGATGACCCAAATGGGGATAATAAAATAGATGGAATGAGTAGAAAGGAAAACCCTTCAAACCTGCATCGTCTCGGCTGCAACCGCGAACGGAAAAAAAACACAGCCACAAACGAAGGGAAAGAAATATCGGGCCCGCAGCTGCTGAGTCCAATTTCCCCCATCCATCCTACATCGGCCTCTTAATCCTGAATTTCGGAGAAAAGAGCCAGTCATAAACGGACGCCACGATCACTATATATATAGGCCCCAATTTGAGGAAAGCAGAAAGTTTTCCGAATAGGTTGCCGAACCTATCTGAAAAAATAAATACAAAAAAAAAGCAAAGCAAGTGATGTGAAAAAATGCATTATTAATAAAGACGATAATGACCTTATTCGTATTCGTTCTCACTTCAGAAGTCGTTCATCGATTAAAGAAAGACGCCGATTTGCTGTAGAGGAAATGATTTCAAAGCGTATGCATGTGTACTTAGTCCCAGTTTTCCAGCCTAAACCCAAAACGAAGTCGAGTTGAGCGTCGATCGGGATATTTTTATCCGCGGCGAAGGGGTCAGGTATAGGTCCCGCAACTATATTCAAAACACGGTGAAACCTTCAGAAACGCGACTGGATTAATTGCTTTTTTCGTGCATTCTTTCTTGCCATCTATTTCCACCAGTCACCTAGTTGTGTTGGGGATTTGTGCTCGTCCTTTGTCCCCATTCTCCTTCTCGAGGGATTATTACCGTTATTCTCGTCCAGCTCGCTTGCACCTTTACATTACTTGCATTTTTTAACGGAGCTTTTTATTACGGACATTGGTCCGTCCGTCCGTGCATTTCCCCGCTAAATTTAGCGGGGAAATTAACGTCACGTGACCTATACACCCGTTCAGTTTACCCACTAGATTTAGCGGGAAAATGACGTCATGGGACCTAAACACTGGTTCAGTCTCCCCGTTCTAAATTTAGGGAAAAAAACACGACAAGTTCTCCTTCCCTCCCCTAAACGACTATATAATGAATTCTAAACGATTTTAGGCGATCGCGCCCCAAATACTACTGAACTTAAAAATAATAACCGCTAACATTTTTTTTTTTTTTTTTTTTTTTTTTTTTAGAAGTGCAATTGTTTGGCGACGGCGGTCCGCGTTGGTTGCTCACCGGGGCATGTTCTTGATGCGGATGCTGGCCGGCGACACAGTCGGGTTCTGGGCACGAAGGTTCTCCATGCCGTCCGTCACCGAGCAGATGCCTCCCTGCGGAAGAATGGCGAGGGTCACACGCGGCTCAAGACGCGCTGCCAACACAAACGACGTCCGTAGACGACAAACACCATGACACCTTGTTGTTGTTTTCTCCCTTTTTCGTTTTCGTAATTCCTTTTCTTTTAAGTTTTCGACGACACGAGATTGAAGACTGAAAAGCCATGGGCATGTTTACTTTCTGCTTTCTCTCTCTCAGCCACGCGTCCCCGTCAGCACGATTGGTTCATTGACTGATTAGCCAATTTATGGGAAGGGGAATCGCCCATTTCCTATTTCTTCAATACACCATAAAATAAAATAAATGGAGAACTTGGCTCGTATTATTTGAGACAGAGTAGAACGAGAGCCAAACAACCATTCACTTCAACATTTTAAACGCATTGTCCCTTAGAGGACTGGCCGCCAGTATTAATTCACCCACTTTTCGTTCCACAAATGTCGACGGCTTAAAAAGAAATTGGCGTGCGCATGTTCATACAGCCGGAAGTTAGCCTGCCTCAGTGTGCGTCTGGTGTCTCAGCTGTAGATGGGCAATTTAGCCAGTGCAGTACAAGCGCTAGCCTGGGGTCTTTAACGTGCACCACGCAGTAGTGATACACGACCGCACGCCGGTACGATGCTCATCCAGATCGAAAAGGGGCAGGGGTGGGGATTAAACCCAGGATTTCTGGGTACTGCACCGCGAGCTTTCCCTCCACGTACTCCGAGCTAGAGTCACTGTAAGTTGCCAGAGTACCGCATTCCATAGCGTCCGCTGTTACTGTTCAATTTTTGCTTTGATCGGCCATTTTGGCGCCGCGATTTATCGCCAAGGTTAGGCAACACCACCTAAACAGAAGGCCTCCGCATGGTCTCCTCTCCCTCTACGAAACGTCATCAGAGTCGGATCGCGCTAACTCGGCTACCGGACCCGAGCCCGACCTTCGGGGCGCTGATTGGACCCGAGACACAGCCGAACACTGACACAGCACTCGTGCCCAATCTCACGCCTCGATCGATCGGGCTGTGATGACGCGTGCAGAGGCCTTCTGTATAAAAACAGTATTAATGGAAAAAGTACTTGTTGTTGGGCTATTATAGTTGGTGATGAACGTTTTGAACCGTCGTTAAGAGCGCTAAAAAGACGAACACAAGAGAGAAGACAAGCACGGGCGCTACTCACAACTGTATTGAAGAATACAAAAGTACTTATATATATATATATATATTTTTTTTTTTTTTTTTTCACAGCGGAGGTGTTAAGGGCTAGTTTCCCCAGGATCGTTTCCGCCAGTAAACAAATGTGGACAAAACACTCTGGACAGCTACCGCCATCAATGAGCGACGGCGGTAACCAGACAACCGGCTTGCCGGTTGTCTGGTTGCCACCGTCGCTTATAGATGGCGGCAACCTTTCGAGCCTTTCCACTCTGGCTTGCCGGCTTGCGGCCGGCCATTACTTCATTCCCACCATAGTAAAGCTTCGGTGATCTTCCTTAACCAAAGTAAAAAAAAAAAAATTTTTTTTGTTAATACATTTGTGAGTGGTGCTCGTGTTTGTCTTCTCTTTTAAGTTCGTTTCTTTTCTTTCTTTCTTTTTCGGGTTTAGCCATGGTTTAAAATATTAATTGTGCCACAAAACCTTGTAAACTTTTATGAATACATCACGCTCCTGACATTCTGTACTAATCTCCAATAAAATATCATACAAAAAAAACTTTTTACGTTTGTTTTTACGTAAAAAAATACTTTCTAAACGATCATGCTGACCAGAGTAAAGAAAAAAATATTGAGACCCTCATTTGGCGCCTGGAAGTTCCGATACTCTGGGAAGATTCAGTGACTCTAGTGTGCGCTAGTTCACTCGGCCACCGTAAGGCCACCGATCCCCCACAACGGCTTTCGTGGATTTTCAAAAAACCAAGAGGTAATAAAATTCGTCCTGTTAAGGCTTTCAACTACATTTTATTGAACGAAAACGAAAGGACTGTGCTTCCAACGTGGCGTTTACGCAAAATTATTTGGGCTTGATTTTGGATAAAGCAAATTTCAAAAAAATTATTTGATTGCACACTGATAAAAAAAGGCAACTAAGAATTATTACGCTACTGCAATCGATTGAAAGTTCCATGTTTAGTTTTCCATATTCGGCTATTCGAATATTAAAATATTATCGTTTCTACAAAATACACAAAAAAAAAAACGGAAGGGTTTATTGAGGCCTTAAAGAACGGCTTAAAAACGGCTATCTCCCAGAGTTATGGATTACCAGAGACTGGCGAGGATTCATCTTAGGGAACAATGATCGAGCAAAACGAAGCTATATGCTCCTGTCGTGAAGCGGCGTCGAACTGAAACGAAGGATGGCAACACCGACCGAAAACAAGGCTGTATGACATGCTTGGGAAGAAAAGACCTATGGCTCCATGTTAGGCGTTCAGTTACGAAGGATCCTCTACGAGCTTGTTATTTGTGATAGCGACTGGTCCAGGCTTGTCTCCTACGACTTAGCACCGGACCATAGAAAGTGGCACACACATTCGGTCCTTCAATTTCGAAGTTCTAAAAAACTGCCGGAGGCACCGCCATATTACTCCAGTGATTTTCGTAACACGTTTAGTTTTACTGATTAGGCGCTCAGATCGCGTTCCTTCCACTAACTAGAACAGACCATTCTGAAAATATAAGACTATACGCCTCGCAAGTGGGCTCATTTTCGTCTTCTGCGCATGAAAAAGGAAGTAGCGGTGACGTCAGAACGCCGAGCCCTGAATGGCTGATCGCGACCCCCTATCGAGCGTCGTCTGCTCCTTTGCAACGTGGTCTGCTCGCAACGTCGTCTGCGTCTGGCTCACCTTTCCTGCGACTTTCGGAGTGAACTCGACTTCGCCTTTAAGAGAGGGCAGACGAAATAACTCGAGCGGTACGTTGTTTTTGTCTAAAAACTAACAGACGCGCATCAAGGAGGGAAGTCAAAGGACTCACTGGCGAAGTGTCCCGGGGCGCCGAGGTTTGTTTGCTTAGAACCGAGAGGTGAGCGTGTTAGTGTCCGCAAGTTCCCTCCCAAATACTTTTTCCCTCCATTCCGGTGCGGCGAGGACCCTCACTCTTTAACGGCGTCGGCAAGTTGGTGCAGTTAACGTCGTCTGCTTTACGTCTGGCAGTGAAAGCGATGGCTGCTTTACCTTTCCTGCGTCTGTCGGAGATTCACTGCTTTTTCACCGGCGAGAGTCACCGTTGCCTCGGGAAGCAAGGAGATAACAAGAGGAAGAGATTGACCTCTTAATCTAAAATTGAGGACAGCGATCAAAGTATAATACGGGAAGGGTTCAGAAGGGTCGCGCGGGCATATTCCATTCAGCACGCCAGCCGGTCGTGGGCAGACGGTCGCCGAGTCGCGGAGTGGCTGCTAGGCCTAACTGCCCAGCTAGTTTGGTCGCGTTCGGTGGAATCGTGGCCGTTGGAGCTTTTCCCGGGTGTTTGTGGATCCAGCGTTCTTGTTCGTCGTGGTCTGTTTCAAGTAATTTTTATTTTTTTCTTGCTGCTTGAAGTCGGGACGCGTGAGAAGCGCAGGTAGAAAAACAAACGTCCGTGGGTCGTCGCGATCGCGACGCTGTCGGCCATGCTGATTTGATCGTAAGAAGCTTCGGAGCTGCCGTAGGATTTCGTCGTAACCTGCGCAAAACTTACGAAAATTTCGTTTCGTGAATACGAATTTGTTCTTAAGTTTTGTCTTACGCACATTCTTGGCGTAAGATCGTTTCGTGAATCTGACCTCTGCACTTCCGAAAGTCGCAGGAAAGGTAAGACAGACGCAGACGGCGTTGCGAGCAGACGACGCTGCAAAGGAGCAGACGACGCTCAGATAGGGGGTCGCGATCAGCCAATCAGGGCTCGGCGTTCTGACGTCACCGCTACCCCCTGCGCAAGAAGCAGACGAACTTGCCCTCCGCATACTTCGTTTAATTTAGGTCCGAGCGCGGCCGATGTTATGAGCCGAAAGGCCAATCAAACAGCGGAAAAAGCACAACGTCATGGCGTGCTCTCTGCTCTTGATAGGACTAGCAGGCGGAGGAGCACGCACAAAGAGAAGGCGAATACCGGCTGGTCCTATCAACTGCAGAGAGCACGCCATGACGCTGCGCTTTTTGCGCTGTTTGATTGGTCTTTCGGCTCATAACATCGGCCACACTCGGACCGAAGCTGAAACGAAGTATAGCTGATCCTAACTGCTACAAAGACGTTCATAGACGAGGTCACATTTGTGGTAAGAGCCTGACTTGAAACCGTTAGTAACACACGAGTGACGCTACCGAGGTATAAAATTCGAAGTAAAGCTAAAACAGCGCGTAAACTAAAAAAGAAAAAAAGAAAAACACACACACACAGAAAAAAAACATGGGCATAGCATATTAACAGAAAGAGATAAAAAGAGTTCAAACCAGAGCTGCCTTCGCCGGCTAGTCGACTCAAGATTTGCTTACATCGCTCTTCCTTCAACACGATACACCGACGTGGGGCGACCGCTACACTGTCTAGGAGACGGTGATTTCTCTTTTCATTTTCTTTTTCAGGTCTCGTTTGACTTGGAAGCAGCTGGGAGGCGTCCTCTCAAGGGTGTACGTGCCTTTCTTAGCAACCAGAGACGAGCTGCACCGATAACGAAGCCCAATTGCGAAATCAAATATCGGTGACCAACATAACAGACCGAGTCAGCCTATGGGGCAACACTGTGACGCGGACGCAATTAGTCGTTCACAGGGTGAAATCTCTTAAACTGTACGTGGCTTTGGCCTTTCTAAGAATCCAAACCGAGCAGTAATCAAATAAACATCGATTAGAGGTTTGTTTTATACTTCTTCTAAATATATTCCAACCGTGACCCGATAAATTTATACCAGTTGTTTGCGATCGAGATGTTGAAGACCTTTTGGAATTTCGGTAGGGGAGAATAAATTGACTTCCACCTAAATGAAACTCAACTCGTGGCGTGGCCTAAATCTTCTCCGCCT